AGGGTGCTTTGCCTTCCTGAAGACAAAAGAAAAATGCTAAGGCATGATCATCTCGGCCTCGAGTGCAGGCCGAGGCTGAGGTCGAGCAAAATCACGGCCAAAGGCATTAAAGGCAAATCATCACGTGACAACAAGGTCCCAGGCTTCATTTAATGAAGTAGTGCCTCTGTTTATTGCAGCAAACCCACTGACCACGAATAAGCATTTAATGCACGGGGGAAGGTGGGAAGTGATTGAGGTCAGGATTTGGTGATGAGGATCAGAGTGATTAGACATAGACATTCTCACAAGAATTCTGACAGCTTGAGATATTAGGTCTCCAGCTATCAAGGCCATAAATGCGTCTCCACGGCCGGAAGCGCAGAGTCCATGATCGGGGCAGCGGCCGAGATTCACCAGGATTTATGGGGTCACACCACCATACTTCACGATCCCAAATGTCGATTGGACTACCCACTTGCTCTAATCAGGCTCCACCATGCAGCCGAGATTCACCAGGATTTATGGGGTCACACCACCATACTTCACGATCCCAAATGTCAATTGGACTACCCACTTGCTCTAATCAGGCTCTACCATGCAGATTTTCAGCCTCGATTACTCCTCTAGGAACTCTTCCTATAAATACAAGGCTCAAGCTACATTCAAAGGGTTCAAATACCAAACCAAAGCCTCCCACGGAGCAACTTATTTTTTCTTGTAATGCACTTTCAATATCTTTACTTGCTTTCCTAGGAGTAGTGTTAGACTGTAAGGAAAATTCATTCATCAATATATCATACGACCCTTGATTTTCAAGGCGCCGGAGCACCATCCCTGTTGTTCGTTCACTCACCCCATATATCATATGACCGTCGCTCCTTGAGCGACGCGCCGGAGCATCGCCCAAAACCCACCACCAACACCATCACTCAACGGCCTTGTAGTTCAGGCCGTGAACCTAACAGCCGAGACTAGTTCCTCTCTCGGCTACAATCGTTTGATTAGAAGACGAGTTCAAACAGGCGCACCACTTATCCATCCTACACTCATCAACATCTCGACGCACGGTAGACCGTGCTGGCACGCCCGCGCACAACCGCACCGCACCCAAAAGCAGGAAGCCGTGTGTCAACGCATATCTCCTCGGCCCGGAACTCCAGGCCGTGAGATTTGCGCAGCAGACAGTCGCTGGATTGCAACGGTCGTATGATATGTGGGATGAATGGAAAAATAATAAGGATGGTGCTCCGGTGCCTTGAAAACCAAGGGTCGATAATATATTGATGAATGGATTTTCCTACAAGTTGTCCCTACTCCTAAGAAATCAAGTAGTCGGGGGCGTTACTTCATTAAATGAAGCATGGGACCTTGATGCCACATGGCGACGTCACTTGATTTTTCCTATTTTGGCCGTGTATTTGTGGGGGTGTCATTTCCCTCGTTCAAGCTTGCCGAGGCCGTGATGGTTTCACCTTCACAGTTCACCTTTGTCTTTCGAGAAAAACCAACGGTCAACCCGCTGCGTTTCGACTTTTGGACAGGCACCATGGCCGAGGAGAAGCTCCTTCGGTCGGCTTTATTGGCCGAGATTTATTAGGCACAAACAAGGGGTACTAACTCAACGTTTTTCTCAAGCTTCCAACCTTCTTCAAGGGAGCCTTTCGGGTAGATTCCCTTGTCTCTATCCTTCTCGTTTGGATTCTAGCGCGAGCTGATCTGCGCTTCTTTGTCTGGCGGGCCAGGATCAAGGGATACTAACTCAACGTCATCCTTAGGCTTCCAACCTTTTTCAGGGGAGTCTTCCGAGCAGATTCCCTCACCTTGATCCTATCTCCTTAATTGCTATTGTGAGGCAGCAACTCCCTTCTGGTTCGGGCTTACTTGTCTGTTGGGAAGGCTTCCTGCCATGTCAACAACCTGCAATACTGGTGTGAACTGTAGCTGCTTGCTCTTCTTGAGCCCTTGGCATGTGCACCTCCTCGCCATGGCTTGGTCACTGTTGATCTATTAGATCCCCCCCCCCCCCCCGG